CTCATCGACATGATGAGCATGTTGGATTCTTTAGTGCAGCTGAGATCTTCTACAGGCCAAGGACCTACCCCACTGCGAGCTAATGATGGAAAATAATCAAGAACAGCGAGGCAGTGAGTTCTCATTCAAAGGAGATCTTAGAAGATCTCCTCAACCAAGACTCAGTCCTTGATATGAGAGCCCTCAACCATATTCCACAACATACTAGCCGCACTGAAATGTAACAGAGAAGCATTCTCGACTCATATACACAACCTCATTTCTCTCATCTGGGAGAATGAAACCATGACTTGGGACCTCTGAGGTGCCGTAATTGTGACCTAGTTTAGTATCCTGACATTGCGATCTCTGTTCAGGCCATGTGACAGCAGAATAGCATTCCTTCACAGCATTCTGTCAGACACTGGGGACACCTGGGCCGGCATTCCTTCGAAGAGCATGAACTTTGAGGCTGGTGTTGTAAAATGTTCAAGAAAAAGATGCCATTATTTCAAAACCATTACACAAAGTAAACTATTTTAATTTGATCCTCTACTCCCATTTCATCAAATGTGGATTTGGGAGTGGAGAGGATTAGCTTCTATAGCTACATTCAAATGTTTACCACTCATTGTTTGTGAAATTTTATTCATTCAAGGTTTACATGGTCCTACTGGCTGCTAAGGATGACTCCATTCTTTTAGTATTACTCATTGCTCCTTTGCAAAATTAATCCGGTCTGATGAATTAAACTTATTTATTTGCTGATAATAACCATAAGGTACATGTCAAGACAGTCTGCTCTGTGTTTATATGCATATTACCTTCCTATCATGTGAACTCTTGAAAAGACTACAAGAAATGAATGTCAACAAATCTGATGAATATAGATAATTATTGAAAGTTCATCACCTAAACTCACTTTGGGGCTTCAAAATAAGCAATATTATAACACAAAAGTCCCTAGACTAAGAGAACAACCATTTGCAGTAAGATAGAGCCATCAGTGTAATGAGGAATTTCACACGAGCCTAATCTTACAAACCAAATCGGAAATATTATTGCGGATGGTCAAAAACTTCACAGAAAGAGGCTTTAAGGAACATTTTAAAGGAAGAGTGAGAACGGGGTGGAGAGGTAGAGAATCTGATCACCTGAGGGAGAGAAGACATCCTTGTCAATATTGGAATTATTGAAGTCGTGGATGCACAAAGAGACCAGAATTGGAGGAGCATAGAGACTCATATGGGTTTAGGACTAGAAGAGTTCATTATAGGATGGAGTGAGGCCTTGAAAGGGTTTGCAATCAAGGAAGAAAATTTATGAATTAAGCTATTGCAGGACTGGGAATCAGTGTGGATCAGTAGCAGGATGAGAGTGTGATGAGTTAATGGGACTCAGAACGAGTTTGTGTATAGACAATCAAATTTTATATTCTTACAAATGCTAAGAGCATTCAGAGACAGAGCCTAGAATTTTTCCTTTCTTTGCAACACTTGGTCTTAGTGTTTTTTGTCCCGTCCTAACTTTCTCTGACTCTCATTCCCCATTTTACAATTTTTTTGTGTCACTTTGTCTCCACTCTTTGATATGTCACATATTTCTAATTTGATCCCTTACCTTTGCTTAAAGCTCTTTACTTTCCCGCTTATGTGGTTCACAAAACACCGGCACCAGCGGGATTCAGTTGTAAACTGGTCCAATAGTACAGTTCCCAATTTCCCAGTACTGATGTCAGTGGCTTATGAATTGAAACCCACTTCAACCCCACCAGGCTTTGAGCCATGTATTCATCTCTCTACTCTCATGTATCCTATGCCAATTTGTATGCAGCTCAACTCATAATCCAGTGTTTATAACCTATTGAGGTTCTGCTGTTTAATTTAGCACCTAACTCATACGGTCTATATAAAAACTCTTTCCTAGTATTACCGATGTTGTTGTTACTGACGTAGACTACAACCACTGGCCCACGATAATTTTCATTCCAGCCCTGTGATGTTTTATTGACCATTTCAGGAGTGGGACCTGCATTTACCATGGCAAAACAACCTAACTTGCATAACCTTGAACACTAAGGAACAATTTAGCACGGCCAATCCACCCAATCCATCATCTTTGGACTATGGGAGGAAATCAGAGCACTTGGCAGAAACTAACATAGACACATTGAGGACATGTGAACTCCACACAGTCGCCCAAGGCTGGAATTAAACACACATCCCTGGCACTGTGAAGTAGCAGTGCTAATCACTGTGCCACTAGGCCACCTAGTTTTTTTAATGCAATATGCAGGATGTTGCCTGGACTGAAGAGTTTTAGTTATGAAGAGAGAATGGATAGAGTGAGCTAGGGGGCCAAGTCCTGGAAAATGGAACTAGAATAGTTAGGTGGTTGTTTTTGACTGGTGCAGACTCAAAGAGTCTTTTTCTGTGCTGCACGCCTTTGTGACTCTATAGCTGTCTTTCTGTGCCATCTTTAAAGATGTACCCTTTATTTTATCTTTCCATGTTCTTCCTACCAAACTGTATTACCTCACACTTCTCCACATTGAACTTCATCTGTCACCTATCCATCCACTCCCGCCAATTTGCCTATTTCCTTTGGAGTCTTTATACTGGCCTGCTCCTGTACACTGAGGTCTAGATCACTAACATACATAGATATGGAAAAGCAAGTGTCCCCAAACTGTCTACTAGTGGAGTTCACATGTTCTCAATGTGTCTATGTTAGGGTGACACGGTGGCTCAGTGGTTAGCACTACTGCCTCAAAGTGCCAGGGACCCAGGTTCAACTCCACCCTCGGGTGACTTGTCTGTGTGGAGTTTGCACGTTCTCCCTGTGTCTGCATGGGTTTCCTCTGGGTACTCTGGTTTATTCCCACAGTCCAAAGATGTGCAGGCTAGGTAGACTGGCCATGCTAAATTGTTCAGGGATGTGTGGATTAGGTGGGTTGTGGGGGGGATGCTCTGAGGGTCAGGGTGGACTTGTTGAGCTGAAGGGCCTATTCCCACACTGTAGGGATTCTATGATTCCATCACCAACATCCCCCCTGTATGAGAAAGATCAGTTAACAATTATTCTCTGTTTCCTATCACTCAGCCAATTTTGTCTCCATGTTGCTATTGTCCTTTTTATTCCATGAGCTCTAACTTTGCTTACAAAACTGCTGCGTAGCATTGTATCAAATTCCTTCTGGAAGTCATGTACACCACATCAACAGTATTGTCTCCTGATTAACCTGTTATATCATCAAAAAACTCCAGTAAGTTATTGAAACATGATTTTCCTTTATGAAATCCATGTTGGCTCTCCTTAAAATGCATTTATCCATGTGACTTTTAATTTAATGCAGAAATATTGTTTCTAGGAATTCCTCAACCACGTCGGTCAAACAGATTGGTCTGTAGTTGCTTGAATTATTCTTACAACCTTTTTTTGAACAAAGACTTAACATTTGCAATTTTCTGGTCCCCGAACACCACCGAGTCTGTGCAGAACTGAAGAACTATTTTGCCAGTGCCTCTCAATTTCCATTTTCATCTTCACCAATAGTCTTCGATGCCTATCATCCAGTCCCGGTGCCTTATCAATTTTAAGTACAGACAGCCTATTTAATATCTAATCTAAATAATGAATTTAAACCCTTTTTATCATTGAATTTCCATCTCATTTGTCATTTGCGTCTCACAAATGCTGGCGATGACCATCTTCAATAAAAGAGGATCTAACCTTCTCCATTTGACACAACGATATTACCAACATTGAATCCCCCACAACTGGTACTCTAAGGGTTACCAATGACTGGAAACTGAACTGTACCAGGCATTTATAATACTGTGACTACAAGAGTAGGTCAGAGACTAAGAACTCCACTGCAGATAACTCATTTAAGTCCCTGAAGTGTATTCAATGTCTACATGGCACAAGTCAGACCTATCATGGGATATTCTTCACTATACTCACCTGATAAGTGGAGTTTAAACATATTCAAGGAGCTCAACACTTTCTAGGACAAAGCACTCTGCTTGATTGGCACCCCACCCACCACCTTCACTGTTCACACTGTACCATCCGCTAACACGCAGTGTCTGTACTGAATACAAGATGCACTGCAACATCACAGCCAGGCATGCAAACCCATGACCTCTACTACCTAGAAGGACAAAAGCAGCAGACGCATGGGAACACTGTATGAAAGTTCCCCTCAAAGCCACACACCATCCTGACTTTGAATTGTATAACTGTTTCTTTACAGTTTCTGAGTCAAAACATACACAGTGGGTGTAGTTATATCACATGACCATATGATGTGAACGTGATTAAAGATGACAGTCATCACCACCTTCTCATGAGTACTTAGGGATGGGCAATAAATGCCAGCTTAGCCTGTGATACCCACATCCCATGACAGAATAAAAATGAATTGATACTAAACCTTTGTGAAGCACAGCATAAACCCAACAGCTAAAACAATGGACACCTTGACAGCTAAGGCAGCCATGCAAAATTCAGGGAGGTACTGCATACTGGATGAACCTATGTCAGCATGTAAATGCAGCCATAATTATTTATCTAATGTGTTCTTACTATTGGAACGTTTAATATTAATTCCATCTCAGTAAACCGCTTGTAAAAATTGAAGGTAATTAAAATAGGATATTTATCACATTTAAATTAATGCTTTTATTTACCTCTAAAACATGTTTGAGAAATATTGTTCATCTAAATTCCATATTATTATTTACAATTAAAAATGGTTGGATTTTTTTATTTAAGGTGCTTAGTTACTTCTAAACAAAGATGAAATCCAGTTAACATTTGGCTTCCTTAGCAGTGAAATCCATAGAAGTGACAAAATGGACTTTGTTCAAAAGATTTGAACCACACTAATCCTTTAGCTATCATTGAATTAGTTTAATCAATTATAACGTATTGATTGTTAGACTGATTAAAAAAAAATTAATGGTCAGGTGATCTGTTTAATAGCATGTACTTAATACAAATACGTTTTTCTACAGAAACTTGTTGAATGACAGAGCAACTCCAGAAGAAATAGCTTCATATTATAACGACTATGTCAAGTTTATGGGTCTTCAGAAAAACTTTGTGAACAACACTTGGGTCACTTCTGTCTCAAAATTGCAGCAAGATCAAGAGCATATAAAGGACAAACTGCTTAAATGTGTTAAAAAGGATGCTACCACACAACAGTTGCCCACAACTGCAAATGGACCAGCTCACAACCTTTGGGAGGTCAGAGGATTTCAACGAATTGGAGATGAATCACATGTGCCTTTTTGCCTTTTAACTGAGAATGTTGTATTAGCCACCGGCACCTACGATTTACCTGCAAGATTGGGGGTTGAGGGTGAAGACCTGCCTTTTGTATTTCACTATATCTCGGCCTTTGAGTCTGCCATCAAAAGCTGCAAAGTCAACCAGTTATCAGATCCTGTTCTCATTGTTGGTGCAGGGTTGACTGCAGCAGATGCAGTATTGTGTGCCTACCATCACAAAATCCCTGTTATTCATACTTTCCGAAGAAATGTCAGTGATTCAGGTTTAATCTTCAAACAGCTTCCTAGGAAGCTTTATCCAGAATATCATAAGGTTTATCGCAAAATGTGCAAGCAGTCCTACACCACCACCCCTCACTCTAACTATACAAGCTTCCCGGAAAGTTGCATTATCTCTTTCCAACCAGATATGAAATGTGTTCTTCACACTGCCTCAGGAGAGAACATGGTCCTAAATATCTCAATGGCGTTGGTGCTGATAGGTACTTACCCTAATCTATCCTTTCTTAAAGAGCATGGAAAGTACTTGGGAATAGATCCAAGTAAGCCCATTTCATGTAAACAAAATCCAATTGAAATTGATCCCTATACATTCGAGTGTGCCAAAGAAGCTAGCCTCTTTGGAATGGGCCCTCTAATTGGAGACAACTTTGTTCGCTTTCTTAAAGGTGGAGCTTTGGGCATCACAAGTTGTTTAGTGAAGCGCTTGAAGAAAAAAGGACAGTTAATTTCTGAAAAAGGAATTGAAGAAGGGTAATAAAACTCTGGATTAATGATGAATTGTGATGGCTATATTGAGAATCAAAAGTTACAAGGAGCTGACTTTTAGCAATAGATTCAAGATACAGTACGTTAGTGAAGATCCTGCCCAATATGTGATAATGGAATAGGGAGAAGGAAATAGTTAACTTGTACTCGATTTGTACTGAGTAGTAATACTGCAGAAATTGAAAATGTACACATTTCTTAATGCAACAAATGGAAATGAACTCAGAAAGCAACCAAAAAGGGTTGGGCAAGTCCATTCAAAGAAATCCATTATATATCTGGATATCAAAATACAATTGATCTGTGAAAAGTGTACACATAAAAATGAATGCAAAATTAAAATCTCACGTTAGAACTGCTTGATGCTTTGGCATTCCGCCCATCCATTTTCTTTTTCCTTCACTTCATTTGACTGTTTATTATTTTTAGTCAGCCAATGTTCCTTTGTACCATGTTACTGGTAGACAATAAGACGATGTGAATCTTTCAGTAATTGTATGTTTGTAATCACAACTATGCTGTTCAGGAAACATCCCTTACACATGTAAAAATCTTCACTTGTTGAGTGTCCTTCAAAGCATCCTCTTCTACACAGGCTCCTTCATCTAATGAGAAATCGTGCTGACAATTTAGAATATTTATATGGAGATGCACGTGACATGAATAGTCTCCATAAGTGACATCACTGTTCCAGCAAGAAAATCAGTATCTGTGTGCATATATTAAAGCCTTGATGTTTAATTTTCAACTTTATAGTGATACCAATGGAATCTCATCCAGTGATGTCTTGACTTTATTAATCAAGGCATTCAATACAAAGGCAAGGAGATGATAATGGAGTTGTGTAAGATGGTAATCAGGCCACAGCTGGAGTACGATTTGCCACAGGATAGGAAAGATGAAACGCACTAGAGACGGTGCAGAGGACAGTCACTGGGAATTTTGTCTGGCTCGGAGCAGTTTAGCTCCAGGGAGAGACTAGATAGGCTGCGGTAATTTTCCTGGGGCTGAGGGGGAACTTGATTGAGGTGTACAAAATTATGAGGGTCACAAAATTATGAGGGTCATAGATAGGGTAGATAGGAAGAAATATTTCTCCTTAGTAGATGAATCAATAACGAGGAGATATAGATTTAAGATAAAAGGAAGGAGCGTTAGAGGGATTTTAAGATGACTTTTCACCTAAAAGGCATCTGAAACTCGATGCCTGAAAGGGTGGTAGAGACGAGAATCTAAACAAGATTCCACTCTGAAGTGGAAAAAAAATCACTGGCACTAACATCACAACATTTAAGAAATATTTAGATTATCACTTGAAAAGCCATAGAATGAAAGGCTACAGGTGAATTTCTGAGAAATGGAAAGTGGTGTTAAGTGGTTGGGAAATCATGAACAGTGAATACCAACATTTCTAACATGCTGTTACTTAAAAAAGATTTCCTGAAAGAAGTGCAAACTTGGAAAAAGAACTCTACAGTTCTATAAAAATATTTATTGAATGGAAACTATTTGTGAATGTTTGCTTAAATCCAAGGTGTTCTTTTATTGGTAAAAGGTGATAAAGGGTACGTTTCTGAACATGCTTTTTCTTTCTCGGTTGAGGATTATTTTACTGGTTTTGGAGGAATCTTCAGCCCTTTTCAGTTGCTTGAGTTATCCTGTTTTTTGCACCAATCTCAGTCAGGAGACTTGAACCCAGATTGAAAACTTGAACAAAAACCCAAGAAAAATGGCTGAGCGTGATTTGCAACTGCCTACATAGAAGTGGGCTGAGCACAGAGGTCAGGTGAGCAGAATTAATACAATGAAAACAATCAATCTTCTGACATGAGGAACATCACTCCTCATGATTTCGCCCTTTGCAAAAAGTAAGTATGCATGTAGATACAATAGTTTGAATCAACCTGAACAGCTACATTCTAATTTTCAAAATCAGTGGAAGATTTCAAAGGTATTTAAAAGATATGAGAACCATCAACTGTTCCCTGCAGGAATAACTGTCAACATGTGATAGAAATAAGATACACCTAATCTGCTCATGCCTGTGCAAAAATTATTGTAAGCCACAAATGATTCTTGCAGTTTAGCTCTCAAGCTTAAAGCTACATCAGTTCCAAAAAATGCATATCACAGTCATCCAATCCAAGCATGATACAGCATATAAAGATCCGTTAGATTAGGATTAAGAATTTATACTTGACAGACTGACATCAGAAAGTATGTGAATAAGCAGTGAGTGCACCTGCACATTGAATGAATTTTGATTGAAGTTGTGATTGCTCTGACGTTGTATGTACATTGCTTTCTATACATTTTAAAAGTGGAAGTGGCACAAATGGAGACTATGTGAACTAAGTACAGAGGCTTTGTAGATTAAGTGTAGGTTAGTGGCAAGAGAAAGATACACAAACACTATGCAAGAAATAGTTATTTTTTGTACCCTCTTCAGGCACAGGGTGCTACTGCTTCAGCAAGTGCGGGTTGAATCAGTTTTGCCTTTATCCATGATCAGTTCGGTGATCAGTTCTGAGGAAGGGTCACTGGACCCGAAAAGTTAATCTGTTTAAACCTTCACAGATGCTGCCAGACCTGCTGAGCTTTTCCAGCAACTTTGTTTTTGTACCTAGTTATTAACAATGTTTTTACTTGCTAACTACTTTCTATCTGCTACTAGCTGCAAACCATTAGCGCAAAATAGATTCTCTTTGAGATTGTTGCCTTTGATTCCAATAGCATAAGATGCTGAGCCAAGCTGGCCTGGTAATGGAGTGCAGTTAGTTGCATGGATAAAGGAAGGAAATGAGGAGAAACTAGAATCTTAGAAAAGGCAAGTTACATTTACAGAACATTTTTAAAGAGATCATTTTAGCAAGAAATTAATAAGGGTAAAGTCTGGGGAAGGGCAGCTATCCCACACCACGTTTTGAACTTTACAAGTGACATCATTACATGAGAGAGTGTAGAGAATGCTCAACCACTATAATCAGATCTCCACGCTTTGAAAGAACTGGATTGTGCTTGATAAATGGTTTTAACTTTAAAAGAAACTTATCACGCATGTGAATGACATGGTCCATACACTTGGATCTTAAAGGTAACAGAACTAAAGCAAAGAAAGGATTTCCGGTACGTAAACTGGCACTCAATCAAAAATGGAGAAGGAAGATTATACATTGCTCAGGTCTTATAGATTTATGCCAGCATTAATTAATGAGGGAAATGCAGGCTTGATGGCTGCTGCCACTAGAAGCAGTGTCTCGCACGAAAGAATATGAAGATATATTTAGGAAATACTTGCAGATGCCCCTTTGTAGATCTTCTGATTTGAAGGGGTAGCCCCACAATTTTACTGCCCAACTTATTCCCTTTTTGGGTGACCAACCAGTAAAGCATGGGAGGAAACATATGTGGGATATATTATGACTTAACTGCTACATCGTTTGTACATCATATAAATACACAATACTCTCACGTCATTCCCCGAACAGGAACTGGGGAGTTATCCATGGTGAGACAGGTTTTTGCTTCTGTTTCCCTTGCTCAAAGACATGACTTATGTTGGAAAGAAACTTCAGGGAAAGTTCAAGGCCGGAAAAATGTAAGTTATTCTCTATCTTTACCCTTCCAGCTTTCTTCTGACAAAACCACCAACCATCTTTGTCCTATCCTATGGAACAGCTATCTAAATTACTTCATCTTGAAAGACCTCCTCAAACTTATTTTAAACCATGATTTCAGATAGCCTTCCTAATTATTCTATAATATCATTTATTTTCTTCATTGTAGAAAGAGGTTTCATGTTAAAAGGGCTGTACAATTGTGATTCTTATAAACAAGCTTAAGAGGATAACTACTGTAATCAATTAAAAAAAAGTTAGTGAGAAAGCTTAAAACGCTTTAAAAATATGACATTTGATTGCTTCAGGATATCCTTTCTTGTTTAGGTGCAACTTCTGCTGGTTACCCATTTTTGATTTATAGTAGTTTAAAACATCATGGTTCGTAGTTTTTACTCCTGCTGGGTCCTTTGATTGTTTTAATGATTTATTTAGTGCGATTTTTCATTTTTTAAACAATCTTCAATTTGAACCAATTAGATAAAATATCAAATAAGATTGCAAGTAAACAGTGTGAAGGACAACATTCATGCTAGGCAAATAGTGTATACAATGGAGTTTAAGCTTTTGTTACAGGTATTCTCAAAAAGCTTAGCTCCATTATATTTTCCCATGAATCAAATGTACCTCAAGAAAAAAGTGAATTGATGAAAGAGATCGCAACATAAGGCTCTTCTTAATCGTAATACTAATAAATTCCTTATCTACACGTTTCCTCAATTTTGATAGTAAAACGTATATAGAACTGAAATGTAAAGATAAATAATTTCATGAAAACATTTCTGAATCAAAACAAAATCTCATATGCAAAACAATTTATTTTTTACTTAGACAATGCAAACTGCAAGATAGTTTGATTTCAAGAAATACATGCTATAATACAAATCATAAACTTAAGCAAGTGTACAACAGCCAAATTAACTTTTGTAGACTTGTCATAAAAACAGTAGTTTGTTTAAAGGCCAATGTTTGTGAACCTTATAAAGCATGTAAAAAAAGATGCATTTTCTGATTCATGTATATCTTAAACAATTTCAGCACTGTTCTTCTGAATCAACTTGATGCTACATTCTTTAGTAATTATTGGCCTTACATACTGCATATACATTCCTTTATTTGTCCCCTTTACCTCATGGGTTTCTAGCAAAACTTCCCCGATTCCTCACGAAGTTCAGTGCAAGCCAGCACATGGTTTACAGAACACAAATAAAACCTCAAGAAAAAAAATGACAATTAAAACTAGAACAGAGCAGAAGCTAATAATAAAAATAATGCTGTAAACATTTGGAAGAAAATACACATGACTGATTTTTGAATATCTTCAGCTACATGCAATGGCTTTTTGTAGATCAAAGAGTGCAATTGATTATTGCTGCAAGGGATGTTTTGTTTCCTCAATTTCATCATCTTCTTCTGACAGATTTTGGGTTATATCTGCAAATTAATTCAGATAATTAGCCCTCTTAAAATAAAGTATGTAGAAGATTGCAGCATATAGGTTAAGACTTTACATTCAGGATGACCTTGCTTTTGGTGAGCTCCATACTTGGTGTACAAGTCCATTCTCCATTTCACAGCTAATGATTGGATATCTAAGACAATGCTCACATTAAAAGCTAACCTCAATCTTTTAGCTCAAGAGATCTGCATTTAGGGTTATACCTAATTACAAGTTAGTGCATGGGATCAAGCATGTTTGCATGTTGAGTGGGAAATTCAGACATGCCCATGCAGGATGTGC